TCACCCATAAACTTGCTGAAATAAATACAAAAGAATTTTCCCATGCATATTATCAGATCATAGTGCACTGAAATAAATCAATGGCAAAAGAAACCACAGAAATTTTGCAAACACTTGGAGTTAAATTACAGTCTCTTGAAGAATACATAGCTCACAGAAGAAATCAAGGAAAAGAAATTAAACACTTCCTAGAATCAAATGATAATGCCATTTGGTACAATGTACCAGAATCTGGTACACAGTGAAAGCATTCCTAAAAGGGAAGTTTATAGTCCATAGTAGAATAACAGAAAGAGCCAAATAACCCAGTGATCCACCTAAAGGTTCTCAAAAAATAGGCAGTTTAAATCCAAACCTGCGACAAGAAAAAAAATTATAAACATCAGAGAGGAAATTAGTGAGGTTGAGGCAAAAAATTGACAATGTACCAATGATTTGAGCAGTTCTTTCTTTGATAGAATAAACAAAGAACACAAACTCTTAGCAAATCTCACCAAAAGAAGGAAGAAAAGATCATATCAATTCAATTAGAAATGAAAAAGATGAAATTAAAGATGTTGCCGAAGTCCAGAATATCATTAGTAAATACTTCAAAAACCTATACTCCAATGAGTTCGAGACTTTCAAAAAAAATAGTTGCATTCCTACATATATATGAATTACCAAAACCAAACTAAGAAGATTTAACAACCTCAAATAATCCAGTAGCAGCTAGTGAAATTGAGGCAGGAATAAACAACCTATAAACTAAGAAAAGTCCAGTATCCAATGGATTTGCCATTGAATTCTACAAGAACTTCAGGGAAGATCTAACACCAATATAATTAACTCTTTAATGAAATTGAAAGGGAAAGACTACTGCCAAACTCATTCCTGGAAGCTAGCATTATCCTGTCTCTAAAAGCAGACAAGAACCCAACTAAAAAGGAAAGCTACAGGTCAATCTCTTTAATGAACATAGATGAAAAGATCCTCAACAGGATACTGGCAAACATCATGCAGCAAATAATTTAAAAGATCATATATCATGGCCAAGTAGGCTTCATCCCAGGCATCCAAGGTTGATTTAACATATGAATCTTAAATCTAATGCATCACATAAACAGAAGCAAGAACAAAAATCATATGACCATCTCAACAGATGCAGAAAAAGCCTTTGACGGAATTCAATACCCATTCATGATTTTTTAAAATATCCTAAAGAAAACAGGTATAGAAGAACCTTATCTCAATTAGATAAAAGCCATTTATGACACATATACTGCCAAAATCATAATAAATGGAGAAAAACTGAAAGCTTTCCCTCTAAAATCAGAAACAAGACAAAGATGTCTACCATCATCACTCCTGTTTGAGACAGTGCTCAAAACTTTAGCCAGAGCAATTAGGCAAGAGAAAGAAATAAAAGGAATAAAATTAGAAAAGAAAGAACTCAAACTACCCTTATTCAGAGATGACATGATCCTTTACACAGAAGATCCAAAAAATTTCTCCAAAAGGCTCCTAGAACTAATAAACAAATTCAGTAAAGTAGCAGATATAAAACCAATAGCATTCCTGTACACTAATAACCCATTAAGAACAAAATCAGGAAAACAGTACCATTCACAATAGCTTCAAAAAGTTAAATGCTTATGAATTAATCTAACAAAGAGAAAGACTTCTATGATGAAAACTGTAGTACTCTGATAAAGGAGATTGAAGGGGACATCAGAAAATGGAAAAATACCCCTGTTCCTAAGTAAGCAGAATCAATATTACCAAAATTGATATAGCAGCCCCAATCAAATTACCAGCAGTATTCCTTACATAACTAGAAAAAACTCTTAAAATTCACTGGGAACTAGAAGAGACCTAGAGTAGTAAAAACAATCCTGGGTAACACAAAAAAGCAGGAACCTAGGTTTGATCCTGGCTGTTTGTTAGTTGCAAACTTGGGCAGCAACCTCTCTGAGCCTTGATATCCCTGTTTGTAAATTGGGAACCTGTGGGAAGCCAGCCATAGCCCACTGGCTTTTTGAAAGACAACATTTGTTCCTTTTTAAGGACTGCACGTGTTAAACTTGTTTTGACCCTGCACGGGAGAAACACGGACAGCCAAAGATCTGTAGGAGTCAGGTGTTGTTAACTCCATTTTGTTATGTTAAAGATCTGATGTTATCTATAGGAGCAGGTATTGAGGTTACTATGGTAATCCTAGCCCATAATAGTTCTTTTCCTTTAAAAGGCTGATGCCTGCCTGCAATAAACGTCGCCTTGATCAGACTCTTGTCTTGGCGTCCTTCCTTTCTCTCTGCCCCATCTCCACCCCGCTGCTCTTTCAGGTTTGAGGCACTGCGGGACAGTGCTCTGCGTCGCCGGTTCGCGACAGGAACCTAACTCATAAGATTGTTGGGAGAATCAGAGAAATTGCCAAACACAGAGACCTCGAAGTATCATTATGGGTGGCGGTGAGGGTAACACATTTTGGAATGACTCGCATTAAAGTTGTGGTCATGACTGAATTCGATCTCTTCTAAAAAGGACAGAAATCAGCACCAAGTTAAATACTGGGGTGTTTGATCGGCGATGGAGATCAGCAATCTCAGCACCTGAATTCACAGATGTTAGCAAAATCAAGGCAGAAACTGGAATATCAGTCAGATTTCTTAAAAAATTTATTTCATTATTGTGCCCAGCACTGGAGGTAAAAAGGATGAGTGAAATTTGAATCTCTAATTCAATCAATATGAACTATTACCTAAGCCTGGGAGCAGAGTTAAGGAACAAAGCAGCTAAAATTGACCATGAGATCCTTGGAAGGTTTTGAAGAAAATGTGACATCTGGCTGGCTTCCTGAGTATGAATAAGGATGTTTTGCCAGAGAAGAGAAGGACTTTCAAGGCAGAGGGGGTAAAGCAAAGCATAGGAATTGAGGAATACCTTACTACATTTGGAAACAGGAACTCAGGGTCAGTCAAAAGCTCAGTTATCTGAATTGACAGACAGGAACAGGGCCAGATTATTAACACAGAGACACTTTCCAAAGCTGTAGGTTATAACTTACAGACTTTCTTCTAAAATGCAGATTTATCCAAGAGACTAAAGGAGGATCCAGCCTGGGGATGTTAGTCAGATAATTCCAACATTTGAGAAAGAAGACAAGCAGATTGATGACTAGTTGGGAAAGGACCTTAGCCAAAATCCGGGAAGAGAAAGAAAAAAGATTAGGGGGCATTTATTATGTGATAAATTATTTAATTTAAACTTGACAGCAGTATTCTCTAATGTAAAGTAGGTCAAATAACTGTTAGGAAAGTTTTCAAGAAGCTCCAGTAGCCCAACCCCTAGCAGAGTCAGCTAACTATGACAGGCCAGAAGGTCACGTTAACCATTTCTGAACAGGAACCAAGATAAACATCTGGTATGGGAACGACCTGACCTAGCCCTAAACATTCCCGTAAATGATCCCCCACCGAAGTCCCCCCTCCCCTTTCTCGGAATTCCCCCTCCCCTATAGCTTGTGGTTTTTTTCTTTAAAAACTGTGTATCTACCCTGCTTCGGGGCTCAACTCCTCTGCCCCTGCGAAGGTTATGAGCTGAGCCCCAGCGCGCTGGAATAAAGACCTCTTGTGTTTTGCATCAAGAATCGTCTCTCCGGGGTGTTTATGGTGCATCCTGGCGTCCCGGACTTAGAGTGGTGGGATTCCTCCCTGGGAGGATCTTACATAACCACTCCAGTCATCAGAAAGAAACACTGGCCCTAGTTTCTGAGTAAAGGGAGCTTTCTGCTAAGTTAGGCAGCCCTGGGTGGAGTGATGCATTTCAGAAGTGATTCAACTGCAGGACCAACAGTTCTTGAACTTCGGTTACTGCTCACTTCGCTGCCTTTCTTTTCCGCTGAAAGGAATGTTGAATTGTATTGACCACAGAGCACAACTCAGGTTTCCTGTACCTACGGTGGCTTCCTGCTTTGCAGTGAATGCCTGCTAAAGCAGGTTCCCAAGGATACACATGGTCAACACGATCTCTGATCCTGTATGGACAGTCCTGCCTCCAATCCGAAGGAACTCATGGCCCTCCAAAGTCAAGAAGCAAACTTGAAGTGACTCAGGGTCCTTTCTAGGGACTGTTTTCAGGATTTTAGCCACCTACTGACAACTGGCAACTTCCGTCCATTCTGGCCCTTGAGCCCTTAGAGGGCATCAAAGCTCAGGATGACCTCATCCCTCCACGATCGAGAGTGAGAAGTGGAGAGGCGAGGTCTGTATTTTGAGGACACCCTTCGGGGAACTCTGGGGGCTGCTGGCGGTGGCATGGGAGCCCTGAAGAGCCAGAGCTTCGAAGATCTTTAGGACTCCGAAACTCTACTATGGGCGGGGGCGAGACTGGGACGTG